CCCCACTTTCCCCTTCCCTCTGAAATTCATCAGTCTATTCCATGTTTCCATGCCTGTGCATTGAACATCTGCCCTCGGTAGTCAGCTACTGGCCAAATGGTTGAACCATCAAATGGTTGCTTAGGCATATATATATATATATATATATATATATATATATATATATATATATATTGATGGTGAAAAGAAGAAGATACTATAGAAATTATCTCTTCCATCAGGAAGTCAGGGATTTCTGCTGCTTTCTGTAAATGTGTATTTTACACACACACACACACACACACACACACACACACACACACACAGATATGAGTCACAGTTCTGAAGAACACACTGGCATGAATACTTAACAGAGGCACCTCTGATTATTTTGAGCTTTGGTTTGTCACTTTTGAAAATGAAAGATTAAGTAGCAGGGTAAGCTGTCAGACAGAAAGTCTGTGGTTGCGTGACTGTTCAATGAACTCCAAATGAACCACATGCAGAAATTCAAGGTTAAAAGTATTGTACTATGGAAAGAACATTATTCCACTCTCAAGGAGTACTGTATTTCAAAATATTGATTTGCAAAGTAGCTTCTTCTTATAAAGAGTCTCCTACTGCAGGATTCAAAACAAAGTGAAGAATTTGAAATTTCTATAAAAAATTATCTTAATTATCTACTTTCCAAGAGCCCAGATTCATTAAAAATAAATGCCTAAGTTAGTGAGAACCAATTGGCTAAATACTGTGCTAGGCACTTTATATATATTATCTCTTATACAATAAGCTTTAGCTGACAACCATTAATTTAGAAATCCTATATATATGTATAAATTGATAAATGTTTCTAAGTTTACATTTTAATGTATCAAAAATCCAAACTTCTAAAGTCATTGTGTCTTACTTCCTCAATCCCTATTAACTATTTTAATAAACAGGTTCCTCTAGTATATTTTAAAATTTTTACTTTTATGCATACACAGCTACTTTGTAATATTTAATGATTAGGTCCATAATTTCATTCCAAATTCTAAAGATAAATTTATGGTATCTATCTTCATTATTTAATAACTCATTCAGTACCTCATAACCACTTTGTATTCAGTGAATGTTTTTAATTTGTTTATTTGAATGACATATAAGAAATTTATTACAAAGAAATGTTAATTTCTCTGAAATCAAAATAATTTGTTAAAATTTAAGTTGTTGAAACTGCATAAGTCACAACTGCATATGTGTGCAATATATAGTATTATATAGAGGCAGAATTTCATATACAAAGGGGGTGCATTTAATATTTTTCAGCACCTCCCTCCCATGGAGGCTTCAAAATGCTTTGCTCAAATTAAGAATATTGATATTCCAGAAGTGTGACATTCTAATGTATGAAGCAACACTGTTTGTAGATAGTAACCATGAAACAACTCTTTTAACCTGTGAAAATGTCTATAAATTTTGCATGTATTTTGAAATTTACTACTTTTAAGGTAATTCTATATAAAGGAAACTAGTGATAAGCATATACTCATGTCGTAAATGCAATATTTTTATTAAGAAATGAAGGAATCAGACAGCTATTTCCTCAAGGAGCATTACTTTAATCTGTTTTATAGAGGAAACCTGTTATACTTGCTAGTTTTGATTCTGCACTATTTGCACATAATATTCTTACTGCTGAGCTTGTACATATTGGTACAAGTAAACTATTTCAGGACCTAAGTTGCAAAGGCAGAAATGTTAGTCACAGATAATATTTAAGAGGTAGCCTCAATTCCGTGCTTCAGTATCAGTACTGTAGTTTTAAAGTGATTCAGCGTTTCACTTTAGACCCGTACATTGTTCTGCCCTGCTGTCACTGGTCATGTTCCTCGGGAAATGATCTTGGGCTTTATTGGGAGTGCTCTTGGGAACACTGTCAGGAGTAAGGGATGTAGGATTGAGCAGAGGGAGAAGTTGAGCTGAGATGCAATCTCAACAGAGACCTGTGTCTCTTCTATATGCTATGAGGAGCATTAAAGCTGAAATACAGCTTCAGAGTTGCTCAGCCTTGAGGCAAGAGGAGAAACCAATAATCCCATGCATTAATAAGTCATCGCATGGGGCTACCAAACCCTCCACTTGACAGGCAGTTTGACCTTGGAGGAGGCAGCTCCTTTTGGCCCAGGGCAATTTGTGAAGAGTATCTCAGGTGTAAGTCCTAGCTCCCAGGACTCCCAGCAGTAGGAGAATGAGTCCTCAGCCCTGAGAGGGGCTGTGGGAAACACTCTACACTTGTATTATAGATGCAGAGCAAGTGGCCAAAGAATATGTAGTCACATGTCTTCTGCATGCCAATAATCTTTTAGATCTCTCTCTTCAAATAGGTGGGAAGACATGAACTCAGATAGTTTTTCCAGCTTCCCAAAGTTGGATGACTGTTCTTTGATTTTTCCCCCCAGGAAGGAAACACCACTTGTAATATTGATAAAGTGTGTGTGTGTGTGTGTGTGTGTGTGTGTGTGTGTGTGTGTGTGTGTGTATGTATGTAAATGAAATATATCTCTTGGAGGAAAAGATCACTTAGCAATCATATCAACATACATTTATTATTTGTGCTAAGCACTGTGCTGGATGAAAAAATAAACTTGAGTTTTCTCTTAATCTCTTTGAACCAGAGTGCACTTAGTACATGAAATAATTACAGAATGTGTTCCTGCTGAATTGCATTCTTGTTTCTGTGGAAGCAACATAAATAGCTAAAGAGTTTATTTTTCTCTTCATGATCCTATGTTAGCCTGAGATTTTAGGATCACATAAGATAATGAATACTTTTGCACAGTATGAGATCTGACTCAAATAAAAAAATATTTTAAATGATTTATTAAAGCTCACTATTATTTGTGGACATGTTAAGCCATACCACTGATTTCAACCAAAACTTATTTTTACTTGGAAGTATTCTAAAGAGGCACTAGTCAAATTTTTATTTTGGTTCTTAAAAAATATATATATATATATATATATATATATATATTTTGTTTCAGAGAGGAAAGGAGAAGGAGATAGAAACATCAATGATGAGAATTATTGATCGGCTGCTTCCTGCACCCCCCACACTGGGGACTGAGCCCACAACCCAGGCATGTTCACTGATCCAGAATTCATAGGTTGGTGCTCAACCACTGAGCAACCCCAGCCTGGCTATTTTGATTCTTGAACTTTTCATCAAAAGAGAAATTGTGAGCAATACTAAATTCACGACAGGTATATCACCAAAGTTTTACCGATTCCCTCCCTAAGAAAGTCTACACACCCACACTTACTGTCCTACTAGGTGGACAATAAAAGAAGTTATGGTGTGGTCTGACAAATGTAGACTTGTTATATTTTGCTTTTATCTCTGTCCGCTTTAATACGTATCCTCAGTTTTCTGCCTTGTACTACGTTTTGTTTTAATTGGTTTGCTGATTCAAATGTGCTCTTGTTGTCCTTGCTGTTGCTGAGAAACATTTCAAGAGGGAAGTTAAAGGAGTGAGGGAAATACTGTTTTTGTTAATTTAGTTCCAGCTGATTTTATACCTGGAAGTAGGAAGAGCTGATGATTTTTCAGTATGTTAATTAAATCTTGTGCTGCTGGCTTCTGTTATGGGTATTAAGTCATTCCCCTTGTTAGCAGATCCTCTGGTCCAGTAGGGTTGGATTCACCATTGGGGGCTCATTTTTAAAATGTTCATCTCGAGTTCAGGTAACTGATGGGGACCACGTGATGGTTGTGTGCAGCTGGCAGAGGTGATTGTGAGATTTGTCAAGGTGAATCATAAAGAGTCTCACTCTGATTTACAAACAAGATGACAGGGGAGGAAGAGGCGCAGGCATGAACCTCTCCTCTCTTTTCTGTCTCAGAATTCTCTGCTGTGGGGAAAGGAAAAAAAATCCCACTGCATTTTGTTTTCCTAATGTCTCTTGGATTCTCACCAGCAGGTTTTTACAGTCTGCTGCTTGCCTCTCAGATTAGAAGAATGCTGGCATATTTTAAGTTTCATAGGATTCGGCAGCCTTTAATTAACAGAAAAATTGATGTATTGGAATGTTACCAAAATATGGAGATGGAAAGCTGAAGTGGGCTTCATCCTTTCAGCCTTTGAGTGCAGTGGAGTTATATAACAGTGGGGGGGGGGCAGATGAGATGGGGCAGGGAGAGTGTGTGCAAAAGTGTATGCTCTTGCAAACAGCTGGTTGCCTGCCTACTGTATGCAAAGGGGGTGTTTTGTTGGCATAATATTCCACTGTCTGCTCATTGGTGAACTTGTAAAGTCCACCTACTTATGACTGGGGAGAAAGCAGGTAGTCACTGATGTCTTAAAGCTATGGGATTGCCAGATAGATAGCTCAGGGATTGCTCTACTGGTAGCTGAACCCACTGCTTTTCATCTTCCAGTCGCCTCCCAGGCTGCGAGGTAGTGCTGCCTGTACCTGCGGTTAAGTTTCCTTTCCGTGCCAGGTTCACGTCACGGATTGCTGCCAGAGTTTTGGATGTGATGGAAAAGAGCAGTTTTGTAAAATAACCACTGAGACTGGATACATATTTTGAGCACAAGTTAGTATGAAAAGAGGGATGGTGGGGCCATTTTCAAATCCAGGGATTTGGGTGGCAGATTGGTCCTGATCCAATCCAAAGCTCTAGGCAGGAAAAGAAGCCTATATGGGGACATCTGACATGTTTGAAATGTCAGCTGTGACTTACATAAGCAGAGAGTTATAATCCAAGGCGGGGAAAGAAACAGCTCAACCAGCTTTCTCTGCCTAACAGCAGATCTGCTCATTGGCCAGTTCCCAACTGAGGTCCATACACTTTGTGTCTTGTTTTTTCCAATGACCCACAAAGCTGGCCTTTTGGTCTCAAGAGACCTCAGTGGGTTTTTTTGTTTGTTTTTTGGTGTGTGTGTGTGTGTGTGTGTGTGTGTGTGTGTGTGTGTGGTTTTGTTTGTTTTAAATGTGCTGGATGTCCCTGATTGCTCCCTTTGCTCTCCTCTCTGCAGGTGGTACATGCCAGAGCCCTGCTCTCCCAGCCCTGGTCCGTCCACCAGCCCCTCCTTTGCAACCATCGCTGGATATTAAACCCTTCCTTCCTTTTCCTCTTGACACTGCAGCAGCAGTCAACCTCTTCCCCAATTTTAATGCGGTAAGTCCCACTGTCCAATTGTCATATGCCAGAGTGGTAGGTACTGGAAAATCTTAAAAGCCAGGGGTGAGTTGGTCACTACCTCTGTTTGGCTCTGTTTCTGTATCCCATGGATGTCTGAAAGCCAAGGGGTGAGTTGCCTGCCTGATTATGTAAGGTCCCTGCAGCCAGACACCTTCAAGGAAAAATGGAAAAGAGATTCAATGGATTGGGTTCATCATGGGTTCCTGTTTCCCCATTAGTGTCTTTTGGGAAACACTAACAATTTCATTATTTTGTTGGAATATGTCTAAATCAAAATTGAATGAATTTGTTAGAGAATATTAGAATTCAGGTAGATGCCTAAAAATCTAAACATGTTTCTCCTGTATGGACTCTCTATTTTAATTTATTAATCTGTTACTCCTTACCTAATTTAATAAAGAGGACTCTGACATATTCTGTGTATAGAGCGCTGTTTGCCTCCTTAACTTAAAACAACTCAGGGTTCTGGTAGCAAGGATTTTCTTTTTCCATTTTTCCTGCTCAGCTGCAGTTGTTCAAGTTGTTTTTCTTAAATTACCATGTTTTGGGAAAGCTTTGTCAACAGCCTTCTCAACACAAGTTCAATTACTTCTGTCTCTATTGTTCTCCAAAGGATGTCTTTTGAAGTTGGCAGATTCCTCATACTCATCATCATCTTTTTTGTGTGTGAGCAATGACCATATTCTTAGGATGGAAATAGAAATGAGAGTTGAAAAGGTTAGACTCCAGTGAGTGACTTTTTTTCCTAACAGCATCTGATTCAGCTTTCAGCAGTTGTTATAATGCAGGTCTGAGCGTATCAATGACAGGACGTGTCGACAAAAGCAAAGCAGATGATTAAGATGGGAGGTCACTGAATGCCCAGTGATCTGAATCACACACATTTCTTGTGGCAATTTTTTTGCATCCATGATGGACTTTTAAAAAATTAGATCACTTTCCTTCAGCAGACAGTACTGGGTCCAGTATGTTTTTATAAAATTTCATCATGGGTACTTCGGACACGCCAATGAAATGGTGCCCTTATGGGCTAGTCCTTACTTAAGGGCAAGGGTGAATCACAATGATTGCTTTGCTTTTTTTTGGGGGGGGTGAGGAATTTTCTCATGGGAATCTTATTTTGAAATTGATGGAGCTTAAATAGAGTGGTGTGAAGAAATCACATTTCCAAACTAAGGGTTCCTAATCTTAGGTGTTGAAAGCAGAGGACAAATTACATCCAGCTCTCTGATTCTAACGATCACACTGAAGTCTCCTGGGCTCCCTTGTTTTGGAGCATCATGTCTGCTCTTCTGTTAAGTGGCTTCCTGGCAGTCTTCTTTCCCAGACCCTCAGGGAAGATTCATCAAGGTGCTTCACCAGGCCTCTGAGACCACTTGGTGTCCTGTCACTCAGTCCCCTGTCGGCTTTGGAGCAGTTACAGTAAAATTTCCGGAAGGCTGTAAAATATTGGGTTTTAAAGTTTAGATTTGCCCTTTGGGAAACATTGAAAGCAAAATGATTAATTTGGCTGAATATTATTTGTCATAAGACAAAGATGAGTGATAATGCTGAGTTATCTGACAATGAGCAAATCTCTTTATTTTCTTTGCCACTGAGGAACTCTTCTTTTGGGGGTTATACTATTCAAATATTGGAACTTTTGTGGGCAAAGGCAGCATTTGTGGTGATCAAGCTGGATTTTGTAGCAAGACTGACTGGGTTCAAATCCCAGAGCTGCTGCTTACCATCAATATGACTTTGGCTAAGTCACATAACTCCCACGAATCTCAATACCTTCATCTGCAAGTGGGGGCCGATATTTAACCTACCTTATAGGTATGTGATAATGCTTATGTGGGCTAAGTCATTTCACCTGGGCTCAGCATATAACAAACACTATTGAGTGACAGGTACCATAGCCGTTAAACCCTTCTCATTTTGAATGCGGAAGTTCATTGACTAACTGATTGCAAAAGTGTGACTTGATTCCCTTTTTGTCCCCTTTCTATGATGGATTTTGACTTGTGTTAGCATTTGTTCCATTTAAATCAAGAGCTCTCTGTTGCTATACCTACTGGTCTTTTCCTTTCAATGCTAGTCAGGGTGCCTCCAACCATGGGTTAAGCCACTTCTTGCTTCCAGCTGAGGGGAATGGTTGCAAAGCCATAATTAGGTGGCTTCAGACTCAGTATTAAGGCATAGATTATCTTTCTAAGTAACACCCTTAGGTATTGTGTGAATCTTAATCTACAAATTTAGGGTGTATGCAACAATGATTTTTTGATTTCTGTGAGTTGATTTTATTTCCATCAGTAAGAGAGGATTGCAATTTACTTCTGTTTCAGGGTGTGCTGAGGTTCAAGTAGCTATAGGTTATTCATCCAGCTTTTGGTAGAAGACTTCCTCTGGTCATCATCCACCTAGGCATTCATGTGATGGTCAATACCAGGCTATTCCCCAGCTTTTACTTTTGGGCACAAAACTTTATGAGACTTTCAGTGGTCTCTCCTGCCTCCATTTGTCACACTGCCTAACTCCTTTGCCAAGAAAATGATCAACCACTTTGCCACCCAATATGCTTCCCCCACCTGACCTTTGTGAAACAATGTCTTTGACAATCAGAGACTGTCTGTCTATTGTGTTCCTCCTCTGAGGATGTGAGTATGGAATCATCTGCGCATTTGTGGTACGGTGAAGCAGAATAGTGAAGGACATTTAAAAATATATGTACATGTACATGTAAAATAAAATACGCAAAACCATAAGTGGGTATCTCCGATTATCATCCATCCACAAGTGCATAAGCCCATGGGTTTGGATGTGAGTCAGAAAGAATAACGGAACATCTGTAAAAATAAGCACAGTTCAGGGGAAAGGAAAACAGATGTGGGATCTGAGCTCGGATGTGGATATAAAAAGAGGACATTTGCTAAAACCATTAGGATCCCTTAGTCTCCCTAAAGCCAACTTTTAAGGAATAGCAACAGAAGCTGTTCTCTAGACCCAGGGATTTTGTGTTGGTGGATGTTCCAGTAGCTTTCAGACAAGGGACAGTTTTTCTTGAATTCTTCCTGTACCTCCACCCTGCTCCTCAATATCTAAGACATGGGAGTGTCAGTGCTTAGGACTGATCCCAGTGGTACCTTCCGAGTCTCCATTTCTTTAAAGGAATCATTCCTATAAGTAAGTAGATGATGTTTAGGAAACAAATGTAAATAAATGGTGTAAACTTACTCCATTCAAGTAACTTCTATTTTCTAAGCATCTACTATGTGGGAGGAATAGTGACAACAAAAATTGTGTTATGATCTCTGCCACAAAATAATTCCATTTAGAATGGATAAGTTGGACAAATAAAGATATATTTGGAAATATGAGTGCTGTTATATAGGTATATGCCGATAGAATAGGATGGCAGCTTAGGGGAGTAGTGGAAGGCCTTGTGTGGTTAGAAGGTACAAATTTTGGAATATGTTCTTGGGAATAGTTGAAGGGCTGTGTTTCCTGTTGGCACAAAGATTAAATGAATAAATTTCCCTAATGCACCTTCATGTGTCTAATACCCAGTAAATACTGAGTTCTCCCTTCCAGGAGAGGCACAAGAATGAGTAAGGAGGTTGCACACAGAGTTAGAAAGGGGTCAAATCTAGGAGAGAGACTATTGTGCTTTCGGTTATCTTTGGCTAAGATTATGTAGCATTAAAAATGTAAATTAGCAGCCCCAGCCGGTTTTGCTCAGTAGATATAGTGTCAACATGCACTCAAGGGTCCTAGGTACCATACCGGTCAAGGGCACATGCCTAGTTTGCAGACTTGATCCCCAGAAGGGGGCATGCAGGAGGCAGCCAATCAGTGATTTTCATATTGATGTTTCTATCTCTCCCTCTCTCTTCCTCTCTGAAATAAATAAAAATATACTTAAAAACAAATAAATAACTGAATTTTAAAAATGGTAAATTAGCATAGAATTGTGACTCTGTATTACTTCTCTTCATAATAAGATTTCATTATGGGAGAGAGAAAGCAAAGAGGGAGGGAGGGAAGAGTAAAGGGAAAAGAGAAAGACTGAGAAAGAAGAAGAGATCATCAAATTCTAGAATGTGACTCTACTCTAGTTCTTTGTATTTCTCAAAAATATCAATTTCCCCAAAACTTTTAAGTATGGTGTTAGTTTGAGTGCAAAAGTTTTATCAGCTGAAGGGGCAGGAAAGTAAAGCTTATGTGAGCAATGCTAGTGCTTCTCATAGTCTAGGGTGCATATGAGTCACCAGGGAAATTATGTTGCAATGCAGATTCTGATTAGGTGGTTCATAGCTGGAGCCTGAAATTTTGAGCAAATGTGGGTGGAATAAGAGGAAACCAGGAGAATGATTCAATGCAGTGGAGTCCATCAAAAGCATCTGTTTTAAGGTTAGCACTTAGAAATATAATGGAGGATATGAGGAAGAGAGGTTATTAATTTCTTACTCCACCATTTACTCATTGTGCATTTGTTAATCACTGACTTCATGCTTGACACTATAGTAGGTGATGGAAATACAAAGTCAACAAGGAGAAAGAGAAGGAGGAAGAAGGGAAGGAGAAAGAGGAGAAGTAAGATGATGGGAAGGAGCAGGGGAAGAGGTAGTGGCGGGGAGCAATGATTCTTGTATATATGGAATTGACGTAGTTGATTATTCACTCCCTAAAACACTGCTGTTTGCAACTAGTAAAACATCTAGCTGTCAAAACACTACATTAAATATAAACTAGTCAAGCAGAAACTCTGTCTATATAATTTTCTTAATTTATCAGAAAATGGGATACAGTAGGAAAATCATTCCATAAATAACTCTGCAATTAAATGTTTAGATAAAGTCTTATAACTTAAGTGCTATCTGAGTTTAAGAGAAGGATAACTATCTTGGAGGTGGTCAAGGGAAGCTGTATAGTAAAGATTAAGGTTTAATTTGGGAGCTGATGTCATATTTATTTGTTACGGTAACTATAATATA